GGCTGAATGTATGCGCAAATGCACCGCCCGATTAGATCATCCAGTGACCCCTTGGCTTGGCAACTTTCAAGACGCGGGGCAGTGATCCTGTTCAGGTACTCGAGCGCATTCACCACGCTCTTAACACCAACCTGCTGGCCTCAAAGCCGCCACGCTAAGAAACTCTGGTGCCTAGGGCTTGCGCTGGCGCAAAGTGATGGGAACCCGGGATTAATAAACCCATTGTGGATTCAAGGGGGTACCGGGTGCCAACCATTTGAGTGGCAACCCTGTGGGGTTAACGCCTATCACCAGGTCTTTCCGCCGGGCAGCCATTGGTCATCGCTATTGCACAAAGCTCTTGCGCTGATATGAAGTCTCAGCTGCGGAGAATTGACTCAAGCCAAACTTGCACGCGCTCAACTGATTCGAGAGGCCGTTCTTGGACGCATCAATGCGGTGAAATTGGGCTGTGATATCTTCCTTCCCTTGCAAATCAGGGTCTTCAGTCACCTCGGCTGCGCAAGAGGCAGCTTCCAGGTCAAGCATGCCATCCCAAAGCCAGGCAACCAGGCAACCACCCGTATGTAAAACGGTGACATGGGTTGCCCTCACGAGCACATGTACATGTCACCCGTCTGTGAGCTCTTGACGAAAAGCACTAGCTTACTTGTGGGGCTTCTGGGACCCAACGCCATTGGCCAAGGTGCCCTCAATGGCGGGCGCTCGCCTCAGCTGCGAGAGCGCTCAACGGGGGCGGTTTGGGGGCCAGAGTCAGAGACCGCTGCTTCGCCCTTGAACCCACAAAAGCATCAACCAAGCCGGCAAGGGCCCGTGAAAGGCACAGCAAAATCACACTGGTTCAAGCTGAGCGGCTGCTCTTGTCTTTGATGCTCACTACACTGCCGCTGTTCTGAATCGCCTGCAGGGTGTGGCAGGTGTCCCTTCTCAAACGGCAGTCGAGCACAAACTCTCCTTGGGCACATGAGCCACGCTCGAATTATGCAACAGTGCATGCGAAAGGCAAGCGCCGCGTTTTACGGCCGCGCCCGCCATCCAATTGCACCCCGTGCACGTGCCATGAATTCCGTCCGGCCTCCAAGGGGTGCCTGGATAGATTGGTGTTATCTGAGCTTTCCTCGATGATGCGCCGTGTTGCTGCCTGGCAAGTTGCCGTTGAAAAGCACGGAGCCATCTCTGCGCGCCTTTTGTTGAATTTACCCCACAGAAATAGCAATTAGCAAACAAAAAACACCATACGCGGAAACAAATGTGCAAATCGCAAGTCTAGAATCCCACACATGTGGAGCGAACACGGCCAACCAACCTTTTCGTCTGAAGCGGTTCACTTAGTCCTGAATCACGGAATGAAGCGCCCCAAAGACTGTCGCCGGTTTGCTTGACAAGTGAAAAGCACAAAAACGAGCTGCCGCCTGTTTCAGCTGATGGATTTTGAAAATCCTTCACTGGCTAGGCTTGTTCCATGCCAACTGGAAAGGCCCGACTGTACCAGGCCTCTTCAGGCGGAACATCGGGATTGGAATGCTGCGGAAGCCGCTTGGACATTGAGTAGTTGTGCCTTGGCTGCAACAGCTTCTTTCAAAATAGAACATGGACCCCAATGATGCCTGAATTTCTGTTGGTTCGCCTTCGAAACTAGCTCAAATGGGGTTCCCCAAGAAAACGCCCAAAAACCAAGAAACATAGAAACACAGAAACACACCAACAGAAACACACCAACACAAGCACAGCTTTGCAAGAGACAAAACCCATCTCAAGCTGGCGAGAGTCCCGCTCACGTGAGCTCGTGGCGAATAGCCCGTGTTGGCAATCTCCAACCTTGGCGGCTTGCTATTGGTTTTTCTCCATGTTTTGGCTTGACGGCTTGGCTTGACTCGGTTTCTGACCCCTGTCTTCAATCTTTAGGTATCAAATCAGGCGTGAAAATGAGGAAGCTGAGCCCGCAGCTGAATCTTATTGATGCGGGTGCTTGCCTCCTCTATCACGGACTGCAGCGTCCTATGCCCAGATGCTCCACATGTTTTTCGCCAGATCTCCAAAAACACAACTCTTCAGATCACTCGTTTGCAATTTGCAGCTAGGATTCTGGAGCTCTTGCGAAACCACGGCCATGAATTGCTCGGAGGCATTGCCGCTGCAACTTTGTGCTTCCTGGGACAGGCAGGCACAATCCAACCTGGCATTCAAGAGATCTATCCGTGCTTGCTTTGATTGTCTCCCTTCCCAATCATCCCAAAAGCTGTCCGAGTTTCAATCATGCCTTCAACTGAAAGAATTTTCAGGTGAAACAGACAGATCTCAGCATGAGATGTCAGCTCAAGAAGACATCTATCCAAAACCATGTGTGGCTTTAGGCGGCCGAACCTGTCAATGGTTGAGACTCTAGGTCTTCAGGGGAGTCCACAAAATTCAACCCTCCTTCAGGTTTCTTGGCAAGGTGCGATAGACGTCTCCGTCAATCTCTTTGCCATGGCGGGTTGCTCAAATGGTGACAATGCAGTCAGCCTTTCCAGAAATATGTCCTGACCTTCAGCACTGCAAACTTACATTGGCATCGAGTGAGCATCAAGAAGCTTGGCCACCTGCGTTCTCTGAGCCACCCTGAGCGTGGAGAGCACGTGCGTGCATGTGTGCGCTCTTGGCGTCACAAGGCTCATGCTACCCTACTCCCTTGGCAAGCAGCCCTTGACAAGCACCACGTGCATGGCATAGGGGTGTGGGTCGAAAGTATTCCACTGGTGGTTCCATTTACCAGGGTTCCGTTCTGGGGAATACCAACTAGTTTTAACCACCGGACCACAGTCATATGGCCACGGGTCAAAATCCCGCACCCTCAGTGAACATCCCAATCTCCACTAAAATAGACTAAAATGGGTGGTGCACCTACCCCAAAATTGTACCATTGGTTTTGACCCACCGTCATATCTGGCAAGCGCTTTTTTGGAACAGCAGGGAAGGGCCCAGAGGCTGCAGTAGCCGTGTGCTCTCTTCCAAGTCCTGGCCAGGCTTGGCCAAGTGGCTCGTCTTGTTTGGAGGGTACTCCTTTTGGGTTGGCTTAAAGGGAAACCCAAAGGAAACCAACCATTTGGGGGTGGGCCCTAAAAAAGACAAACCCACTTTTTGACTTGAATGGCAAGTTGACCAACAAGAAGAAACACAGCAAATCCACACTGTTTCACCGTTGCCCTGGCAATCGACGCACCACATGCAATTTTCTCGCAGGCCGGCATCTCTGGCCAGAGCTAAAAGTGCTGGTAAAGGGAAGGCGCTCGCTTCCAAGGTGAACAAGCTGCAGAAGCTAATTCTCTGCGTGTCTTGTCAGCCCAAGCAAATCAGCCACATTCTGGAGGGCCGCTTTGTTTAGGCCTAACGGCGCGTGGAAGGCTGAGACGCCAGCTTTCGCCTCAGCTGAAAAGGGCGGGGCCCGAACGCTGCAAAGAGCCGGTCAAAAACAAAATGGGTTTGGCTCATAATTCGGGAACCCGCAAAACCTGGGTTCCTTTGTTTTTGGCGCCCCTTTGAACAGGAAACCCCTCCAAAAAATGACACCCCCAGACTACAAAGTGGGCGTGTCGGTTTCGTTGTGTCCTTTACAACCAACCAACCAAAAGGCTACTCTCCAAGAAGCCGAGGCCTCCATTCTGTCGTCCAAGGCACTGCCTCTTCCACATTATGCAGGTCGTCGTCAAGAAGGAGCATGTCCTGTCTTCTTGGCCCTGGTTGGTACCTAGGGGGGTTGGACACCTTGAAGTAGACACGGCAAGCTTCCCTCGGGTTCAGTACTTTCAGGCGAGTTCCTTGCGGGGGTTCCCATGCCGGGCAAGCAATTTCCCCTGGGGTTTCCCTCTCGAAAGGGGATGGCCCTATGCTGGCCCGCTGAGGCTTGGGGCTGTGGGGGTAAGGGAACCATTCCTCTGAATTCGCCCATGCACCACGGCCCACCCTCCCTCCCCCCCAAAGCCCCCAAGCAGCCCCGCCCCCCCCCCACCCCCCCGCAGCCCCGTCCGTGGCCGCCACACTGAAGCGCCGCGCCAGGGCCGCCAGCTGGGTGTTCTTGTCGCCCAACCAGGAGCTCCCAGCAGGGCAGCGCCCCGCCTACCGGGCCCCCGGGCCCCCGGCCCCCGGCGACCGGTCGCCGGCCCCCCGCGGAAGCGAAGCGGCGCACAGATGTTGGACCTTCATAAGTGGTAACTTGTTACCCGCCCTCGTATTAACATAGCACCTGTGGGCCTGCGGGAGGGGACCTGGAAGATCATTTTCCTCTTGCAGGGATCCTCTGTCAAGTGCCACGTTAGTGGGAGTGAGGGTAAACCACACATCATGTGCAACTTTTGAGAGGGGAATCTGAAAGAAGCCTTGGGACGTGGGAAGCCACCAATTGGGGGGTAACCCAAAAATTTGGGGGGGAATCACCAGAAAGTGTCCAAGAATTGAGGGTGCATGAAAAGTTCACTTGGAGGGTAAAGGAAAATCCATTGTCTCACATATGCTGGTGGTATAGTTTTGACCCATACCCACATGGGAGTGTCAATTTCGGGAGTACATGAGGGTACACCTGGAAAGAGTTTAAAGGGAGACCGAAAGGACAACTCCCGTTTTGGGGGGGTTCCCCATATCTTATCTTTGCAGGGGGAAGATCCCCCATATTTGAGGGCCTTCCCACTAAAGTTGGGCCCATTCCATCTTGAGCCAGCTGCGTACAGTATCCAATTGTTTGGCGTAACCACCGTTTGCTGTGACCATTCCCGCTTCACGCTGCGATTCAGCCTCAAGCCCAGGGGTTCAAATGCCCAAGCCTCCAAGCCACGAATCAAGGCTTACCTGAATTGATGCTAGTGTCACAGCGAATCTCTTCCAAAGCAAGTGGGCCTTTTCAGAACGTTCGAACCGTGACGGGATTTTTCACATGCTTTTCTTGAGGGTCAACCGTCCGTTGGTCAAATAGGATCAGGTCCACACACTGCAGCTTACCACTGACACATCAAAGCACACAGCACTGCTGTGCTACTAGCAGACACGCCTGCAACTCCAAACCGCCGGAGCGGCTCGCTTCATGTTGCAAGCTCTTTCATACCTATCTCTATCTCTCTGTCTCTCTCTATCTATCTATCTATCTACCTACCTATCTATCTATCTGTCTATCTCTCTCTCTCTGGACAATTGAGAGGCTTGAGGGGAGGGGCACAAACATGGAAACTAGTTTTCGTGCAGCCCTTCGATCAAAGTTTGACATCGATGCCTAAACACAAGGTGTTATTTGTTGCGGCTTGTGTCACAACATGTCAGAAATGCTGCGGTGAAAACGAGTGCGCTTGGCCAATTCGGTTATTCCAAGTCGTCCTTTGCAGAGGGGCAGCCCCTCTGCTTCAAAAAAGGCAGCGAAAGCGCCTCGGTGCCAGGTGCCGGAGCAGGGTCCGGGTAATCCAGGGGAGTGGTGATGACAATGCCGTGGTTTTCCCCCAGCGCGAACTGCATGGCTTTGTCCGCAACATCTGGACGCCCAAAGCTGGCAATGGCCTGGGTGACCCAAGCCCGTCATCCTTTTGTTTTGGTGGGGGGGGGGGGAGCGATTTCTCCTTTTTCTCCTTTTCCTCCTTGACTAAACATGGACCTTGGCAAGACCAAAAGGCTGATCCGCCTTGGACGACTACGTGTTGGGGTTGGGGGGCTCTACCCACAATGCCAAAAAAAAAAGCGACTTGCCGGCTTTCTGCACCTTGCACCACGTGATAAAGCAAGTTTCAAATTGGTGGCCCACGTGGCTCCCCGGATTCTGCGTCCAAGGCGCCACTTCCCCGGAAAGCTTTCGCACAGAGCGGACCAGCCACCGGAAAAGCGCCAAGTTCACGAAAGTCTCCTTGTCCCATTGGGGCTTGCGGTGGGCGTGCCATTCTGAGGCTTTTCAGGGGAGGAAAGAAGGAAACATCCCAGGGTGTTTCGTGTGCACACGGTTTTCTCTGCGCCATTGGTTCTAGCCTGGTTGAGGATGGCACTGTGCAGGGCCGAAACGGGCCGGTCGCAATGGTTTGCTGGTGTGTTGAGGTTGGCTTGAGGGTCGATTCAGGAATGGGTTTGGTCTAACACCATCTTGGGCTAGTTTAGGGTGGCTTTCCGGTTGGGTTTGGGTTGATGTTACAGAGGTTTAGGGTGGGTTGAGGGAGGGTTTGCGGTGGTTTAGGGTCTGCTTGAGGTTTATTGGTGAGGGGTAAGTTTGGGTTTAGGTCCGTCCGCAGAAGACGTGGTTGGCTTGGGGGTAGGGTAGGCTCAGGGTAGACGAGCTTTTTCGCTGGATGGATGGAACAAATCCCATGCCGCGGCAGCAGGAATGGAAAGAAGAAACCCAGAGATTTGTCACAAACTGGCGACCGGCATCCTCGTTCACCGGAATCTCATCCAATGGTGCCTCCTTGTAGGTGCCCCACATGTGCTCCTGTGAACGGCATGTCAACATCTTCCAATGATCCGCCGACCCAGGCTCTTCGAAAGGATGCGAACCCTACGAAGCAAAAATGTGTCTTGCCATTCCGGTGTTCTTAAGGCAACTCGCAACTGGCCAAACCAAAATTCCTTGCTGCCCAAGTCTCCTTTGCGATGGTCCTGTCGAAGTCCAAGCAAACCAGCCTGCGGCTCAGGCAACTCCTCTCTCGCACCTCTCAGACCCCTCTCGGCCTCCAAGGAGGGGGTGGTTCCAGACTGTCATCTCGCTCAGCTGACTGCAAATCCTGCAGGAACCGGTCACGAAAAACCAGCTCCGCGCTGATCTGTACCGCCTACATGCCCTTTGTGACCGCTTGCGACGGCCAACGAGTTGAAATAGTTGCCATGTGCATACCAATGGTGCCATGGGTCAAAAGCCCGTAGTTTCAGTGAACATCTCAATCCCCACTACAATAGACTGAACTGGGTGGTGAATTCACCTACCCCAAAATGGCACCATTGGTTTTGACCCACAGCCATGGTGCCATGGGGCAGCCTCAATAGAAACACCTGCGTGCTTTACACCGGCGCTTCCTCCCCTTTCTCTCAAACGGCGCATGCCTGACAAGTCGCCTCGTCAAGCCGTTTCACCCACAAAGGCCCAACCCAACCACCCCAGCTTCAGCAAGAGCAGGGCAAACACCAGGCCGTCAAAATGACTGCGGCACGGCGGCACGCTGAAGTGAACACATGCATCATGCATGCCCGGTTGCGTGATCAGGACGATTGTCAGGAGTGCTCCCCCCTTTCTTGTCAGGAATTGAAGCATGTTGGAGCGATTCCGCGGAATAGCATCCTCTGATTGTTGACCACCCCCTTTCTTTTCGAATATCAAGCACTATGTTCATCACCCCCCCGCAAGTTCACCAGGAACTTGACAAAGGGGTCGTTCAAAAGAAGATTCTACAAATGATGCTGGCTTGGGTTCCGTGTTGATTTGCACGGGAACTTCCCGGATTGACACGCGCGCGACGCCGCTTTCTTGTGGCTCCTCGCCTGCAGGGCCTTCGCCTCTGCGGTCGCCAGCCGCTCCAACAGGGAGTCTGGCATCGGATCGAGCGACGGAGGGCCGAAACTCCACGGATCGCCAGTGCTCAGTGAGGGCAGTGGTTTTACTATGGCCACAGTTCAAAACCAATGGGATTCCATTTTGGGGTAGGTGAATTCACCACCCATTTTAGAACCTATTTTAGTGGGGATTGGGATGTTCACTGGGGGTACGGGGTCTTGACCCATGGCCATATATGGGTGCACAAGGTGATGGTGTTCTGAGGCACGCGCCGTATTCTGGCCAAGCGGCTGGCTTTTGCCATCAGCGCTGGGGGCGCTTGGGTAGCGCGCGCAAGCGCCAGTCGGATGGAGCGGCTGTTGCGAAGGTTCACAGCCGCCTGCACGCGCCGCGCGGAAACGGCAGATGTCCCGAGATGTCCCGAGGGCCAAACAGCGAGCCCGGGCCTGGAGCAGCTTCCCAGCCGACAGGGGTGCCAGATTTTTGCCCGTCCCCTTCGCACCTGCAAGCGGCCGGGAGATGGGTGAGTGAGAACTGCCAGGGCCTCTCGCAATAAGGCATGTTTCTTGCGGGCCTTGACCAAACTTAACCCAAAACGTCGGAAAACACACGAGGGCAAGTGAGAGTAGACTTGGTTCAAGCCTGTCCCAGCTCCCGCCTAGTGGCCGAGCTTTGGCTTTTTCCGCTGGAGACTTCTCAGACTTGTCTGCAGGGGACTTGTCGGCTGGAGATTTTTCAGCCTTGTCCACTGATGTTGGCTTTTCGGCCGGAACTCCTCATCCACACCAGTTGCTAGAGCACATGTCCATCCGATGCCCCCCCTTGAAACTTACCTGGCCAATGAAGGGGGCCATGCGGTGTCGGATCGCACAACCATCGCGCAACCATGTCAATCACTCCTGACCGCGTGCTGGTTCTTGTACCAGGGGCCGGCGATCTGTCGAGTCCTGCGCCACATGCTGCGAGCGCTTTAGTTTGGCCCTTCTTTGACTCCCCGAACGAACCAGCCATGGCCCATTTTAGGGCCTGCCCGAACGAACCCCCACTGCCTTGTCTCTGTCCTGGCTTGCCTTCTGTGCGCTTGTCCCGGTTGGGCGCGGGGCTCGCAGACTTGGCCTCAGGAGCAACGTTCAACCAGCCGTCAGTGGGGGGGGGCTGTCGCCAAGCTACATGCCATCCAAGTGGCATGCGGGCTTGCAGAAGGCCGCTTTGGCGGCACCAGGCCCGAGCCTGAAATGCATGCGCGCATGCCGTACACCCGTGTCAGACTCCAGGTCCTTTCCGCGTACAAAGCAAAACCTCCCACAAATGGAATCTCTAAGTTGAAAAGTGGACTCACTCCGCATGTGGTTTAGACTTGTGCGTTGCTCCTTGTCCTTCACATCCAAGCGGCCAGAGCCTTCCCAGGACCGTCCGCGCTCTTTGGCTTGAGGCACGGAGAGGCCTCGCGAAAGGCGCGCGAAAGGCTGGCGAGTGAGCTCGTGTGCGTGCCAGCGCGCCGCGAAAGCTCTCTTGATGTATCATGGATCCATTTTCAAGGGGGGAGGGTGGGGGATAGTCTGCAATTTTTTAAATCCCCTCCCCTTGCCTGAGGCAGCATGCTGCAAGCGGCCCGGCCGCGTCAAGGCCGGGTTCGGCGTTGGCGCGTCGAAGGACATGGAACGATCCTTGGAGGAACCTCAGCGTGACGTAAAGCCCACTTTGGGATGGGCGGCCAGGCTTGCTGCAGATCATGGAGAGTGGAGGCAGTGAAGAACCCCTATCCGTGGACAACTGCGGTTTCTCTGACATGGAGGAACCCCGATGTTTGCCTTTGGTCTCGGCTTAAAGCAACCAGAAACGGACCCTCAAGAAAACCACATGTAACAATGCTTTAACTAAGCATCAGGAGCAACAGCAAGCCCATGCAAACTCACAAACCAGTCATGACGCAACCGGGCATTCCGTGTGGCCAGGGTGCTCAGCTTGGCTGGTTCAGTGCCCACACGGTAGCGCTTCTCAGGACTCTGGCTCATTGCGCCGGCTTTTTCCCGTCACGGCCGAAAAAGCTGAATTCGAACACCCGCGAGCTTGCCCAGATCAAAAAGCAACCTAAACAAGAAGCCAATTTCTTTGTGGCGCCGGAGTATGGAGCCATTTCTTGCTGAGAACGCTCTTGATGATCGTTTTGCGGTGGGTACGGTCTGGCCTTGTGCTGTTCATTGCGTGTCTTATGACACTTTGCCCGCGGGTGCCCTTGAGCCAGCGAGTGGAAAAACTTCAATCTGCATGTGTCACAAGGGGCCCTTTTTCGCTCGGCATCCATTAAATGAAGCGAGAAAATGGAACGATTTGTGAGGACCTAGTTTAATACAATCCTAAGTTGAGGTGATGTGTTCTTTCTCCCTGGCTGTTGAAGCAGAGCTACCAACCAGGCCTGCCATCCTTTCTGGGTTGAGCATGGCCTAATGATCTGAAGCTGCAACGCAGGGCAGCGTGCGCCTCTGGCAATGGCATTTCAGCTTCGATGGTTGCCTCAGATCTACCACATCTCTCACATGTCTTGCACCTGACAAATTGAGTTCGTCGCGTCCTCGCGCTGAAGCACCTCAACCCAACAAGATCAAACCCACAATGCGTGAACCAATGCCTGTGCCCCTGGTATGAACGATGGGTTCATGGATGGGTTCAAAAAGATGCGCTCGTATGCCACGCTGACCATGTGGAATCTCACACACGGGACTGAGAGCAAGCACAAGCTTCGCCGCGTGCAAGAACATCCGCGGCACCCTGAGCCCAGCAATTGCGCCATCCCAGCTTTCACCACTCAAGCGCCACACCAGGGCGGCTCGCTGCCACCGTAGGTCACATCTCCAACCAGGGGGTGTCCTCGCAACTTCCAAGGGCCTTTGACGACTCTGCACGTGCCTATGAAAGGTTTCAGGCTCCCACATCTCTAAGATGGTGTCCAATATCCCCAGCTGGGGGTGGTTTGGGGGCAGCGCAAATCCGTCTTAGATCCATTCCCACTCCCGGTCCGCTGTGGCTCATATGCACACGTATCTGGTGCATGCGCCCCGTGTGAATGCGGACCTGGCACAAATGTGCCAGGCATTCCGAAGATTTCAACGCGCGTGAGAGGCCCCAGCCTGAACCAGACTCACCTTCTCGCCTCAGCCCGCTTCGCCTTTTGGGGTCACTCTGCAAATTTCACCTCTGACAAAGGTCACACGAATGCCCCCAACTATCCCTATCGATCATTACCTCAGCTCTAGAAACCAACAAAATAGAACTGGGGTCCTATCCTATCATTCCATGCTAATGGGGAAATTGTCATCATTTCCACATAGGCTGGCCCCATCACAACCCTTTTTGCATTTCGGCGTGCTCGCCGAATGGTTGAGGCTTTGAGGTCGAGTTTACGGGCTGGTTTAGGGTTGGCTTTGTTGTTGCGTGGGGTGTGTTCAGGTTCGCTTTGGGGTGGTTTAGGCTTTGCCTAGGGCGTTCGGGGCTGACGTAGCGCAGGCGGGGTTTAGGGCTGGCTTAGGGTTGTTAGGTGTAGATGGGTTTGTGTCTGGTTTGTATTTGGTTTCAGTGGGGGCTTGGACGAGTTTGCGATCGGCTTAGTGCTGGTTTGTATAAAGGAGGTTACGCTACTGTGTGATATTCTTTGTTTAAGGCAAATTCAGGGTTGGTTTAGGCTTGCTTCAGGATTGTTTTCGGGTTGGTCAAAGATGGGTTTCCGTGTCAAGGGTTAGTTGCGGGCTGCTTTCCAGGCTGACTCCCTGGGGTGGATTGTGGGGCGTGCTCACGGAATGTCTAGGAGTTTAGGAAGCTTAGGATGCGTGCTGTCTGGCTTGCCTGCATGCCCGCTCTGCTTGTTTTGCTTGCTGGCCGGCTTAGCTCGCTCGCCGGCGGGGATGGAAAAGAAACATGTTGATAACTTGCCTTGCCACACGTCGACCGTCGACGAGTCTTCAGTCTGACAAACTGCCAGCCACTGAGCCGCAGTCCACTTGGCCCGAGGGCGTGCACCTCAAACGTCGGTGTTAGAAGGGACACGCAAGAAAACCGACCATCTTTCTGGATCCCCCCCATTCTGGAAACACGTACATCCCAGTGGCGAAGTAGCGACGACTTCTTCACAAGGCCGCTCCTGTCTGAACCATGCGCTCCTGGACTTTAACATGGAACCGACAAGAACATCATGTTCAAGAACACAACATGTTTTCTTGGAATAGGGGCCTTGTTCTGGGTGCCATGTGAGATCTGTTAAAGCCTGCACCATGGGAGATGCATTTGCAAAGAAACGGTAGCGGCCCACAATGCTTTGGATTGTGACAACATCTGCCATGCACCCGATTCATGTTGTCGCTGTGTCCTTTTTGAAAGCGGGGAGGGGGGTCAATCTGACGGGTCTCACCAAGAAGTCAACTCCCAAAACATTGGAAGGTCTTGGTGGATTTGACGGTGGTTTCGCAACCCTTTCTCCCAGCACTGTGGAAAATGGAGCCCACTTCTGTGATACAACAGAAAAACGAAAGAAACGCTTCCCACAGACTAAACCCCCTCCCCCCCCCCCCCCCCATTTTTTCGGGCCGAGATTCCAACTTGTATCACAGTGGTTGGGGGTTTAGCCCTTGAGCTCCCCAAGTCATCCATCGATCCTTTCAGAACTTCCCCCCCTTTTCCGGTTCCCCGGTTCCCCGGTTGGCAAGGCGACTGGGGCTGTGGCCACCTCCAAGATCTCCGTGAAGGCGCGGCGCCCATTTTCCGAGCACTCGCTCACACGGGGCCCCAGGCCGGGCTCCTGGCTCGCGGCTCGAAGCCTCGCCAAAGCCACCTTTGGTCCCTTGAAGGAAACCAGTTGGATGGGTTTTTCCTTGGTTTCATTCCAAGTCTACAATCATTCAAGGAGCGTCATACCGAAAGAAAAGTGCTTCTTTATGGCTCCACCAATTCGATACAGAACACTCCCAGGGGTACACAAAGGTTAACGACTTTGGTTTTTTTAACCTCCAACTGACTTCCCTTCGTGGTTCCTCGTTCGCCTGTGCCAGTGGGCGGGGCCACCTCTTTCTCATTTCCTCTTTCTTCTTGGCTGAGATTTGATGCGCCGTTTAGCACCCAAACGCTCCTTCTGGAGGACCCGTCGGATAGCTGCGTCCAGCATCCGCGGCTCCCGAGGCACCCAACCTCTAGCAACGCAGGACCTTCACCCAAACTGAGTGGCTTGTCCTGGGCTTCCCTTTAAACTTTAAAGCAACCCCAAAAACTGCGGCAAAAACGAGAGACTCATATGGCAGAGTCTCACATTTTGAGCGACAAAATGGCCGGTTGCCTTCCGATTTCCCATTTTGAGGGACACCTGATGCTCAGCGCCGGCACCGTGGCACAAGCACAGGTACTCCTCACTTCATCACATCTGCCTGCAACAAGCCTCTGCGGAAATCCGGTCCTTCTGAACCTTCCCTGTGACGAAGGCCAAGCGCAGCGCGTAGTAACTGGGCTGCAAGGCAACAGGTGGCCAGCGCAGTGACCCGGGTTCTCAACATGAGGATCCCCTATGAGTGTTCTTTCGGTCCTCCTTCGAATTCACAAGTGGCTCCCCCGGAAACCCAAAAACAAAAACAACAAAAACGCAAACCCACCTGGCGTAGGTAGGCGCCCAAAGCAGAAGGCCCGACCTCACACACCCCGACGGCGGAATCCACGCCGACGGCGCGAGCACCTCCGAAACGGACACCTTGCTCACGTTCAGCGTATGATTACCGTTCTCGTCGTCTTTGGGGGCAACGTTCGAGTTTTGCAGGAGGTCAAATCTTTGTTTGGGTGCAAGTTGTCGGCAAAAGCTTGGCAATGCCAACGCTTCGGAATCAAGTCACAAACGGCACCTTGACCTCGAATTTGTTGGATCAAAGCTGGTGCGAAGTGGCTGGAATAGGCACGCAGGCGTTCCTACACTCTACACTGATCATCTCACCCATTTCTGAGCCCCTGTCGTGTCACGGTCCAGGCGGTGTATCAAGCCGTGTGAGGCATCTGGATCCGAGGCGATGGGGCAGTTGCCGGCTTTCGCCAGCCAATCCTGCGCCGATGGCCGGCCGATCCAATCGCCACCACTCTTCTGCCGCAAGCGGCCTGGATCTGCGGTGCTGAGCTGTACCTCAGCTTGCAGCTACAGCAGTTCCTTCCGCCGTTGCCGTGAAGGCATACCTTTCAAGAGGAAAAATGGGGCATGAGGGTTGGGAATGACTCAGACCATCCCCAATACACATGACCAACCCAAGAGGAAACCCGCCAAACTTTGGGGTAAGTCTCGGACACCTCTTGATCCTCGCCGTCCGAGACGCTCACCTGGCATGTCTGTCCGGGTGGCAAGAACTCTTTAGAAGCAGGAGGAGTTTTTGCTGGCTGCTGTTGACCCCTCTTCAAGAAGCTTCACTTTTTGTGGACTCAATGCAAAAACAATTGGCGTCCCAAAAAGTTATAAAGTCTTCAGATCCAACCCAATAGAAACCAAGGAATAAGCCCCTGGGTGATTCATAAGGCGCCGTCATGGGGCCAGATCCACTATTGGTGGGTGCGCCTTTGCAGACGTTTATCTCTGGGTCCCTTCCCCCTTAGAAGCGCCTCCCAGCCTGGAGGCTTCCACACCTTAGGTTCAATCCAGGCAGCGAATTCAAGCCACGTCTGCCTATGGCAAAATGCCCTACCGTTCCCACCCCCCCCCCCCCCAAGAAAAACAAAAACAAACACATCACTTCCACGCCACTTCAAGGGCCAACACAAGTGAAATGAAAAACCCAAAAGATGAAATAGAGGGAACCGTGGAAGAACAGGTGCCTTTTCAAACGCGCTCCAAGGCCAGTACAAGGCAAAAGCCCTCCTCCTGCCGCAGCACGGCTGGCTCCGTCATGCCTGTTCAGTGCATGCATCTCCGTTGCATTCGTTCGGCGCGTCTGGCAGGCCGGTCCCTTTCTGCGCAATCTTGACTTCCTAAGTCCCAAAGAACAGGGTAAGACAAATGGCCATGGGTCAAAATCCCGTACCCCCAGTGAACATCCCAATCCCCACTAAAATGGACTAAAATGGGTGGTGCACCTATCCCAAAATGGTACCATTGGTTTTGACCCACAGCCAAATGGGCCCTTACTCAACATTCCTTTGCCAGCCAGACTGCCGCGTGGCAGATTCACTGAGTGCAATGGGGTCACCCTCCCCACCGAAAATTCGCTGGGCCAGCAGCTGTGCGCCCCCGGCGCAATCAGCATTGGGGACTCGGCAGAGGCGCTTGCACGACACAACTGGACATTTGGACTGCTGAGTCAGAATCAAAACCTAGTACCCACAACCAAGAATATGATGGAGATATACAAAGGGCGGCTGGACTTATTTGCGGCCGGACTGTCCCTTACTAACCTGCAACCATCTGCCTTTTGATTGTGGCTCAGCTGGCAAATCAGTGGCGTCCGCTGGGGAGCTGGGCATTGCTTGGCGCGGCATTATCCTTCTTGGCTCCGGCTGCTTGCAGGCTCCGTGCCTGAGCTGGCCGATCGGAGAAACAAAGGTGAGCAAGCAGCCTGGGGTGGTGACGGCTGCCAGGGTGACGTCGGCAGCAGCGGGCGATCCATCCAGCCTCATGCCAACGTTTCTGGGAGGCTTGCTACTTTGACTTGGGCCAAGGAGGGACAGCTGGCTCACGCAATAGGCAAGAGTACTGGACACCAGGCGCGGTCAACGATCAACAACATCTAAGACCTGAAATATGTCTCGGCAAGCCACTGGTTCGACGGATCTGGGAGAGGTGGCACTGGTAACGTCGATGAGACAAAATGCGATCAGTGTCCCAAACGCAATCTGCAGGTTTCAGAGTTCCTCAAGCCCACAAAAGCTTGCCGCATCTGACAGCGTGCGTCATGGGCGAGCTGGAAATGAGTTGCGTCCCGCACGACGTCTTCGTGCCATTTGCTTGGTGGCCCTTAACGGGGGATCGAGCAAACGGAACGTTCCCCGGGCAATCTCGGGCAAACCGAGTCTTCTTTGGCCGGCATGCATGCCTGTCAGCAGCGGCTGCGTTCCGGGAACCGCCCCTCGCTCGCTGACACCGGAAGACTCTTGTGCTGGGCGCGGCACGTGAAGGCATAGGCGAGGCTCAAGGCGGGTCTCATGGCCTGGACGAGGCTCCTTGAAACCTCTGCGTGCCAAAACCTTTGAGGCAGCCGCCGGCTCCATGCCACACCTCGAGAGAACTCATCGAGGTGTCTGCTATGGCCCCCCGGTTTTCAATTGCTCCCGACATCGGACGTTGCTGTGGACGTGGCATCAAGTTCAAAGGGATCCTCTCAATCGTTGCTTGGCCTTTGCGCTGACATTGGGCGGCCAGCTCTAGCACTTCCACTGCCCGCGCTGCCATGACAGCGAAGGGCGGTGAGCCTGCAAGCGGTGCGGGCTGCCCCTCCGGCCCTCCCTCTGTGCATCTGCCCAAGCGCGGGGCAGCATCCGCTTGCTTCAGCAAATCCTCATGCCTCTCCCCAGAAAATGCCCAGACATACATAAGTCATTGCACAAACCGCTGATTGCGTGATCTGCAAAACACTGAGGGCGCGTGCAATCATTGATAGGTTCTGCGAATCTGATGCCGCTACCTTTCTTTCGCGACAAGCACGGATCCACATATCCCACCAAGAATGACTGTGGCACATCCAGGACCCTCCAAGTCCCACACCCGGTGTTCCACTGCAGTGGCAACAGCACCCAGCGGACAAGCGCGGCGTGAGCTGGCCGTCACAAAGGCCCGAACCTCGACAGTCGTGGCTAACATGGCGTCAAAATGAGTAGAACCCACCTACCCAAACGGCCGATGGGGTTTTCAGCACAAGTGAGCTTGACACTTTACGCCCTCCCCCTGCAGCTGAAGCTGCGGCTGTGTTGGCAGCTGCCTGGTCGTTGGGGCCTTGCAAGGAGCTTGTCACATGGTTGGATTTTTTTGGGAACCGGTGCTGCGCGGAATTTCAAGGCAAGCTCAAAGGCAACCATCATCTCGATATGATGAAACTTACATGGTTCATAATCTCCAACAAACATTCTGCCCGCAAGCAATTGGCTGAGCTAAAGGCTGGACATCAATGGCAGCGCACAAGCTGCAGCTGCTTCCTGGGGAATGCAAGGCGGTTCGCATAAACGCCCAAACATGTACCATGTCAACACGCGGATCTGTAAAAAAAAACACGGCACCCCAGTTCCATTTCCTGACCGCAAGTAGACTTAACCCAGGGTTTTCCCTTTTGCGGCATACGTAAACTATTACTGGGTTTAGGTCTGTGGGGGCTTCCTCCTTTCAAACACATCTGCCAAAGTGCGTTGCGTGAATTCATCGGCATTCACTCTGCCCTAAGCACAGAGCCGTCAGCGGCACGCCAACTACATCTAGTTTTCTGAGCCTTGGTCACACGACAGGACGAGCAACCAAGAGTGTAGGGAAGAAAAATATGATATGAACTTCAACTACAAGCGATCTCACTGGAGGCTTCACAGGGCAATGCTGCCTGCCAGCTTCTGCCCATGCTTTGACTCTGAGACTTCCGCGCCCGTGCCATCGATGCAAGTTCCGGCGGCTTGAAGCCCTGAACCTGCCATGAGGCTTCGCTGTGGCCAGCGTCGCAGAAGTGTCCTTGGCCTTGGCCAGCGCGTGGTGCGAAGTCACCTCAGCGCGCCCAGCGCCAACGCGCTCCGTCGAGCTACTTCCCTGAGTCAAGACGCCGACCCCTGGCGAAGCCTCCTCCCTCAGCCTCATGATGGCGGGAGCCCGCGTGATGTTTGCTGGGTCCTGGAGCTTCGCAACACCCCGGAGCAGAAGCGGCTGTGCTCAACTGGCCCCGTGTCCATTCAAATGCCAGCTGGGAGCGTTTCTCAAGCAAGCGTCCTGGCAGTTGAGTTGAGGCGCTCGAAGCATCGCTTCACCGCTGAAGACCTGCACCGGCAGTTGCATCCACGGGAATTGTGCCCTTTCGCCATGCCTTGAAGAGCGCCAAGTCCTTTGCTTGACTCTCTGCAGGCGTCTGCGCCAAACCTCAGCCGTTGCAAACCTAAAACATCCTGGCCCCAAAATGGCACTTGAGCCCAGCTGGCCAGACTTCGTGCGTCGAACCTGCACATCAGGCTTGCTAACCCAGCAAGAAAACCCCAAAAACACATACAATCACTGCATATCCCGGTAATTATTCCGCTCTAGGAAAACGAAGAGCAAACGATCACAAAGGCACCTCTTGATATGTGCGGCGGTGGACATGGCGTTCGGGAGCGGTGCGCCGTCAATCTGGCCGGGAGGGTGCATGCCCGGCAAGACCTTTCTTAGACTGTGCGAAAAGGAGGCCCTGCATTTCGCACACTCCCAGCCCAATCTGCATATCCGACCCCTTCCAACCTCCAAGATACTCCAGATTTTTTCGCCCGCAACGGCCAGCGGAGCGTCCCGTACTCCCCGCTGCGTCTTAGGCCGGGCCTTCAAAGCCGCCGCCGCCCAGGCGGTGCCAGCCTCGCACTCCCCCGGGTGCGAGAAAACGCGAACTCGGGAGCTGAGCGACTCACCAGGTTCGGTGCGGGAGACTCGGACCTCGGAGGAGTCGTCTTTTGGTCGTGATCGGGTGTGCCTCTTTCTTTCTTTTGCTTCTTTTTTTTTGGGGGGGGTCCCTCTTGGTGGGTTTTGATCCAAAAGGAAACCAGCCATTTTGAGGGGGTCCCCCTATTTTGAGCCCATCCCTCGTGCAAACAAGCCGGATGTCTCAGGCCGCCGCGTTCGTGCGGCGACCTGGCCGCCAGTTGCCTGCGGTTGGGTTCAGGTGCCTTTGAAGGAAACTGAAAAACCGTGGGAGGCTTTCCTTGGGGCAACACCCTCACCCACCCCCCACCCCCCACAACCCCTCCCCTAAACAGGGAAAGCCGATGTGGACCCTAAATATCTGGGCCAGGCACGGCAAAGAGCGGCTCCCCCCGCAGCTGAAGCCGGGCCCACGCCTCAGGATAAGAAAAAGCGCGGAGGGGACCCTCCCATTCGTCTTGGCGTCCCTTTAACCCCCCCCCCCCGCCCAAAAAAAAACAAAAACACAAAAAGTCCCTTTTCTCGAAGCAGGTCTTTTCCTTGGACGTGCTACTCGTTTCGCTTTGAGCCGTTCTCTTGTTTCGCCCCCGTGGGCGGCTACCTCTTTTTGAGACAAACCTTGATCAGCGAAGCTCAGTATCCAGATCCACAAGCTGCATCAAATACAATGGAGGAGGAAGCACGCATGCGCTCAATCATGCCTCGGTTGCTTTGTGTTCCCCTGCTTAAAAAGTTTAACTTTCAGTAGTTTAAGGGAAAACCCATTAGTTGGCAAAAAGTTAAAGTCCTAACATCCAAGCAAAATGCGCTCAAACATGTGAATCCGTCGCCAAACTGGGGCCTGCGCCCACAACGCGTTCTGCAGCTCATACCTGTGTCAGACGGCAAGCTTCGTTCCGCACGCCGAAGAACAGCGAGCGCTTGGGCCCCGAACGGTTGTGATTCCGTCACGCCACGCTGAATCATCGGGGAGGCCACGTCCATGAGGTGCCTCAAACGTCCGAAAGCAGAGGAACATGCATCAACACGGGCGACAGGATTTCCCACAAGTTGCAATTGATGCCACTTCTTGGAGGTTCAAACAAGGGAAATGCAGGAAGCCCTGATCAACTACCTGCAACACAACACGTGCGGGGATGGACAGTTTAACTTCAAAGTCATGTTTACGTTCACACGATGGAGGTCGGTGACCATGTACTTGATTGCTGCCATGGTGAGAAAAAACGGGGACAACATCAAAATTGCATTCCAGAGACAAAATTGTTCAGGAAAGTGCTCGGGTGCAGTAGCCGGCCTCCAGTCAGCATGCGTGCAAGGAAACTCGAAGCTGGTTACACGTTCCGCGCGAACACACATAACACGCGTGAAGCTTGTGAAGCTTTCAAAGCAAACACACATTCGGGGACAAGCGCCACTATCAAGACAATGTCCTTTGACAGCAGGATAATGCAACCAAGGCAGAACGGTCGACAATCCGTTGTCCTGACAATCTGGATGACCAATGCTTGCACATTCCGTTCTGATTGTTCTGTATGGGCGTATCAACTGCATATGCTGAGGAGTTGGATTGCATAGTCAGCGTGGTTCCCATTCTGACCCAAACTTCAACAAACCCCACCCTCTTCCTTGTCAGATCATCCGAAATGCAGTTCCACAACGTCAACGCTGTAGAAATCCGCGCGGCAGTCAGTGGAGTCTGAGGTCAGGTCTTCTCCAACCTTCTTGGCGTTGCGAGCCTTCAAGCTGCGTTCACGAGCTCCCGCGGACCTCCAGCGACCAGCCAAATCAACGAGGACTTGGCACCTCACTCGAGCGGAAAACCAGCAACGAGCCGAAGCGGGCGAAGGCAAACGGCAGTCGTACTGGCCTGGCTCGCGTGTGAGGATCACCTGCCAAGTGTGGCTTACCAGTTGGGGAAGGCACATGGAACACTTCCCTCCATGTTAGTTTCGCCATCCCCTGTGCCTAAATGGGGAAGGAACTGTGCCATCTTTCACCGTAGGTTGACCACAGCCACGCCTGATTGCCAGCTGCCGCCAGCGGCGGCTCGTCAGCCTTGAAGCCATACCAGTAAAGTCACCATGTCCACATGTTGGGCCACTCTGATGGTTGATATGGTTGATGTATCTGTTCACGTTCTTTGAACACCACCAGTGTGAAATGGAAAAAATCCTATGGCTTAGGCTTCCTTACCCGTGCCCTGCAAACATCCCCCCAACGAGAAGCGAGACTTTCCTTGGCCCGGCACGTGCTTAAACCACCCAACTAGCTAAACATGAACTCCCCTGCAGTCGAACATGGAACCCAACAAGCCGTCCTGAGTCTCCTTCCCCCCCCCCTCCCACTTCCCCCCCCACCTCCCCCCCCACCTCCCCCCCTCCCCCCCCCCCCTCTGCCCTTGGGTTCCATGGTGGAAAGGACCCCCAGTGAAGTGAGATTTTCCCACCCCAACCCATCGAGGCTGCCACGTGCTTCAGCTTCGCAGCTGCCTGCACGACGCTGGAGGCATCCTGCTGCCTGGTGGCTTGTGACATTAGCTGGGACACGTTGATGGTGTATCAATGTGGCGGCGGGTCAAAAAATAGGGCAACCCCAAAATGGAACCTTGGTAAATGGAAAACTGGACTAACATCTGCGGTCTCCTGGTGGTCATTTTTGACCCAGACCCATATGGTGGGGCTACATTGGTTTTGCTTCATGGTTCTAAGATGCTTGCCTTTGCAAACGCGCAGCCTGTGTTTTGTTACAAACCAAGTGCATAAAGACTGGCGAAACGCAGATTCTGGGGTCAGCACCCAGGTTTGCTCAAAGTAGCCAGCGTCTACCGGCTGAGCACTGCCATTGAAGCCTGATGGAAAGCGAGTACCGCAACCTTCGCGCAACCCGCGGGCGCCGGCCTGCTTGGCTTTTGATCCACGCCAAGCGAAGCAAACGCCAGCGCATCCAAAGAAGCTCGAATGAGCTTAGAACTAGAGCTGTAAAAGCCCCTTCCGAGCTTTGCAGCCCTTCTGGCTGCACTACCCCCCATTCTTTCCAGGGATCCTTCCTTTCAATCACAAACCAACGCAGATACAAAGAAGAACAAACATCGGGCAGTGTGTCAACGGAATGTGCGAAAGAACGGGGGCTCAACCTTGGGGGCTGCTACCACATGGTTATGACATTGGTGTACTTCAGCTCCTGCAACAGCGGCAGGCAAGCCTCATCCACAAAGCCCTTGGGGCCGCATAGGACCACCACCAAGTCATCCGCTGGCGGAGGAAAGCTATCCAAGATCACCTCCTTTGATAGTCTCCCATATGTGTAGGCCATGCCTGCGCTAGGATCTGCTTGTTAGCACGTGCCCGGCCAGGCTACAGAACAAACATGAGGGGTCTGTGCACTTTCCATCCGTGACTTTCCAGGCGAAACAGAACCTCAGGAGATCCATGGGCAAATGGCCATGGGTCAAAATCCAAAATCCCGTACCCCCAGTGAACATCCGATTCAATCCAACCACTAAGATAGGTAGCCTAAAATGGGTGGTGCATTCACCTACCAACCAAAACGGGATCCCAAAACGGTTTTGAAACCCACCGGCCAAGATGAGAAAAAAAAGAAACTCTGGCTTCCCCAGCCGCTAAAGATCCAACGATTCGTGCACCTCCAAGGCTCCAAGGGCTGGGGGGCTGTGGGGAGCCTGTCTCCTATGAAAAACCCAGAATGAGCCCTTATGAGGGGTTTGTCTCCATCTGTGCGGGGTTTGTCCTTATGAGCCCTTATGAGCCCTGATGAGGGGCTTATCCTTGGCTGGTCCCAGGCTTCTCCAGGAAGACTCCCCCATGAGCCTTCCAATGCACCTCCTGATCCATTTGTACAGCTGATGAACCAAATGCACAAGTCAAATATCGAGTCCGTCTCTGTTTTGAAGGGCGTCTCTCCCCAAGTTCTGCGGGTGGATGGACCCATCCAATTCAATCTCCGCGCCTTCTCGATGAGACGTTTGCCGTTTCAAAGGCCCTTGGCTCTCGCTCTCCGCGCTGGCCAAGTTGTGAACGCTGCACCGCGGGGCCAAACCAATCTCAGTCTCCGGGTTGTACCAGTCTGCCTGCAACCTGGCCAAAAATGGAAAAACCCGGAAGATCAAGTAGCCCCTGGTTGATTAAGGGCCCAATCTTGGTTGCTGTTGACCCCTCTGCAAAAAGCTTAACTTTTTGTGACTTCAGTGGACAACCCCTTGATTTCCCCAAAAGTTAAAGTCTAAAGATCCAACCCAATAGCAATCAAGCAATAAGCCCCTGGGCGATTAATAAGGGGCCGTCATGGGGCCAAATCCACTATTGGTGGATGGTGGAAAAAGTGCTCTTTGTACCTCGTCCAGGCCTTTCGTCCATTTCGCGCATGGCATGGACGACAGCGAACTCCTTGCAGGGATCAGCCGATTGGAAAATCCCTTCGAAGGGCCAAACAGCGCGAGATTTGGACGCTCTGCCTTCATCACATCAGCGTGCACGTCAGGCTTCGCAAAGCTGGATCTGCATTCCTCTCGGCATTGCCGCAGGAGTGAGAGCACCGGAGTGATGCCGGATCCACCCGCCAAAGCCTTGGCACGCAGAACCGGTGTGCCAACACAGCATACTGCAAAAGTTCGACCTGACCCCTTCACCAATGCGTGCAAATGCAAGGCACAAAAGGCACGTCTACCTGCCTGCCTACCTGGTAGGCCTACCTCGCATCCAATTCTGCAAAACCCCATCATTCACTCAGCATGCCCTGGCGAAATTACCTCGAAAGAGAAACAGAACATCTCATAAACAAGGGTCCATCAGGAATGCCTGCCCCTGCTGGGGCAATGATGATTGTGCTTTCCTCTGTTCATCCATCCAATCCCCTCCCCTCCGCTTTCAACTTGGAGTTCTTGACACATCTGAGGCCGGGCGGCGCAACAGCGCGAAGCCTTCACCACCTTGCCATCCACCATGAAGTTCCCATTGCCCCGGTAGACTTTGCTGCCGTGGGGTCCCGAGAGCCACACCTCCGAGCCTCAGCCATCGGATCCCTATGGCTCATATCGGCCCCTTCCTGGAGGCGCTGGGAAGACGAAGAGCCATGTAGAACATCCCAAACTCCTCCCCTATCTGGGACCAGGCTCTGCAACCGAAAACCCGCAACATGGAGCCGTGGGGGTGTCGAGGGTGTTACTGCTTAGCTTTAGTGAGCTTCGCTTGGCTCTGTTTTTTGCATGATCTGGTTGTTACCGTGGACGCCAGTAGCCACTGCTTTACGCCGTTTTGGAATACATATCTATATATATATATATGTGTGTGTGTGTGTGCGTGTGTGACTGTGTGTGTGTGTGTGTGGGTGGGTGGGTGGGTGTAAACCTTGTTCGGGCATCTTCCGGCGCTTGACTCCATCCTAAGGCAGGCTTAATTGGTGAACACCACCAGCATCACCATGCTTTCAGTCAAGAAAATATCTCTCAAAGTACGGCAAATGTTGTGCTGCTCTGAAGGCTAATCTGGCCTGCCTACGCCTGCTTCCAAAACGCCCTTCATACCGCATGCCGCCATTAAGTCGCAATACAATGATGGGGGGAATCAATAGCCAGAATGTGGGGTTGTTGTCTGACATATTTGTTTGGTGGTACAGCGGCCGATGCTTGGCATGTGGGCAGCAGCCCTCAAAATTGCAACCGACACAGAAATATCGCAGGCCAGAAGCAAAACGGTCACGCTATCACACAGCGACAGGTCTGAAGCTAATGCTCGGCCGAGATGCCCTCCTTGATTTCCATGCACAGCTTTCTGCTGGCGCGACCGCCATCAGGAAATGCTTCACTGCCTTTTTCTGGATAAAACTTCACCTTGGCTGCCCACAAAATAGCAACATGCTTCTGGCGGCCAACTGCAGCTCATGTTGGAAGTAAGGCTAAGGCTGCAGACTGTTGCACAGGTTTGCATGCATGCCGGTTCCAGTCCATACCCGTACAAGCGATGCATTGAACCATGAGAATACTTGTCGAACGAGCACCAACGCAGTACCAGGCACGATGAAGTCAACTGTGGGCTCCTTCGATGAGTTGATTGGCCTCAAACCGCAGTGGATGCCAAAGAACGAATCACATAGGCCACAGCTGTGGTCTGTTGACGCATCCTGGCTGCAATGCAAACTGAGCCGCGTGTAGGATCTGCTCAGGTAATCCCGGTCCACTTCCAAGTTGGCATGGCCGTTCCAGTTCGCCATGCCCTGCAAGCATCCCTCCCGGCTGAAGGGCAGGTGGGCTGGTCTCAAGTTGCACTTGCTAGGCCTTCTCAATTATGAAGCTGAACAAAAGAAAGCCAAGGGTACCGGTGGTACCCTCGCCAACTCCATTTCAACCCGTTGGACTGGTGGTCAATGGCCTGGGAGCTGTTCTGGCACAGCAGCTTCACATGCTGCCCTGGCTGCAGACCACTGCTGTAGCCTTGCCACCGGAAAAACCTAGGGGCGCATCGTGAAAAGCACTCTGCAACACCACAAGCCAACAACAACACAAGCCAAAGCAAGATCTGGATCAACTATCATAGTTGAGCATGAGCAGCCCGAAAACTTAGGGGGGAGGTGATTTTAGGTAGGAGGAATGATGAAGGGTTGAATCGAGCAGTGTTGACCCCAAATGAACAATCCAAAAGTGATCAAATCCCCACTAAAAGGGACATCACCAGCGTTTCTCCATCCGTGGTCCCCATGAATTCCATTCCCAATTACTTCGCGAGGCTCTTCGCCCCTGTTTTTGCGCCGTGTTGCCAGGGGAAGTCGAACTTGAGATGGTACAAAGAGCTGCTGACTTGCGTCCGGCTCCTCAAGATAAGCCGTTTCGGCCGTGCCTGCGCAGCGTTCTGACCGAATGGAACCTCTGAGGCTGAAAGGCCCCGTGTTCTCAGAGCCTTTTGGGGCCAGCCTGGAACCAACGG